GCATAAAATCGCAATCAACCAAATTGCAACGATCTGGGTGAGTTGGAACCGCTTGGATGTCCAACGCTTGTACTGTCGTGACGATGTTGTTCTTACGGCCAGGAAACGGTTCAGGGCCAGTACGAACTGACCCCACATGGACACGACTACCGTCACATTGAACAAAAATGTCTGGTGCAAACAAAATGCTCTGTCGGAGAGCGCGGAGTTTCTGCTAGATTCGTCGATGTAGAGGCCGATAGTGACAGCCGGCAGATGGAAACCAATCTGCTGGATCTCCGCGACGGCCTGATTAATAATGAGGTAGCGCGAGCCTTCGAAGAGAGAGGGTTGCCGGATGAGCACCAGAAGAAGTAGGCAAAAAAGCACAAATCCAGTGATACACACGACTAAGCTCACAACAAGAAACGCGATCAGTTCCGAGCGATAAACAGCAAGCACAGATTCCCGCTGCGTAATCGAGATGGTCGCGTTCACAAACGTTACGTTGGTTACGTTGATTGCTCTAAAGATACAACTTACATTTAGTACTCGTATCATTTTTAACAAGATTTCCAGTTGTAACTGAAATAAGTGAAATGTGCCCTGTGAAAAAGGTAAGTATTATGCGGCAGTCCCTTCGAGTAAACGGCGTGTACCGTTTAGCTACCGGCAGTCTGCGCTAGCGATGATACGCGACACTGACGAAGGGGGCGGACACGTGCAGTGCACGCGACTTGCATAATTGTGTTCAACCTGTTTCTTTGTTTTTTCCGAACGTACTAACTTTTGTCTCTGATTGCATTTACTTTTTCCCAAGTGCTATCAGCAACGAATAAAAAAAATTTATTGCAGTAGTAAAATCTTTCATCAGATTTTGCGGCTTGTATCTTTTGGCTACCGACAATACGGGGTAGTCATGTTATTCGATACTGGCGATACAAGGCGCCCACATAATGGGCTGCGTTATTCAGCAGGTTTCTATTGAATGGAAGACGCCAAAGGTTTTTGCGTAGGCGAGGCATGTAAGCCATGCATTGCTGGTAAAAGATCTTGGTTAAGGCTAGAGTCCAGACAAATAACGGAGTCAGTGAACACCGCTGGCGCTTTCGATACACGATGCGCATAAACTCCGCGCACAGTTGCCATACGACGAAACGTAATCCCAAAAATTAAATGTCTACGAAATTATCGACCGCAGCTCCACTGCTGTGGCAAAGAGTAAACGTTGCACTGGACCTTGCTAGTGGCACTGTGAATGACAGGGCGCGCGATAAAACCTGGAGGCCGTGGCATCTCGCAAGCGAAATAAGGCGGCAGACGCCACATAAAATGGCATCTGCCATATTATGCCAACTGCCCAGGCGGGTTGCAAACATTGTGAGGTAACCGCGTTCGGAAATTGCAAATGCACCTGTACATTAATACAGCAGCATAAACAAGTACATCAATAATACAAGTATATCAGCACCAAATGCCCATTTGGTATGCATGACACTTGCTGCCTACCCTAGTCGTTCTGGCATATTAATATGCCATATTAATTGCATAAAAACATAAATTGGTTTAACTTTTAACGGTGTGTCAAGTAGTACTAGTATACTCCGGAGCGGTCTTTGGGTGGCACTTCATGATTCTGTAACTTACCACCACTTCGGTGTGAGGTTTTTCGAAAGAATACTCACCTGAAACAAGTTTGCACCTTAATGTCAGCTTTGTAGAATAACAACAAAGTTTAAGATGGTTATTTTACCGCTTACCCGTTAGTCGTCACTAACTACATGTTTTTAATATTGCAAATTAAGGGAAATGGCCCGGTACACGGTATCAAAAATGGGATACATACACTAAAAATTGCGCTTTCCCGCATTGCGCTCATTGTTCTGAACAACGTTTGCGCGCGCAACATCCGGTTGCCGAGATATTGCGTACTAAAATGGGTGAAAAGTTTAAATGCATTGTTGTGCACCAAAAGTCTGGTTATTACCCGATCTTCTTGAAACTCTGGTATAAACGACATATGGAAATAATGTCGAAAGTGAACCAATTTCAGGTTCATTGCATTTTCCGATAATTTTGAAATGAATTTCAGAAAATTTAAAATTTAATTTAAAATCTGGAAAAAATGGTATGGATCTGATATTGTTCACTTTCACCTTTATGGCCATGTGTCTTTTGTAGCAGAGTTTCAAAAAGATCGGGTAATAACCAGACTTTTGATACACAACAATGCATTTGAAATTTACGTCTGTTTTAATACGCCCGCTACCTCGGCAACCGGATGTTGCGCGCGCAAACGGTTTTCACAACAATGTATACAAATCATTTAGCTTTAGAATGACATAAAGTAATACAAAAAAGTAACGCTTTAGTGTATAGATCCCATTTTTGATACCATGTACCGGGCCATTTCCTTAAGGCAATTACATAACCAATTGCTTTCCGCAACATCCAAAGAGGACATCCAACGCGGGAACGCGGCCTCAGTCATGGGAACAGCACCAGCATCGGCTAACTTAGACGAAATATTCTGCGTGATTAGGCCGCCCATTTCCGTAATCAATTGAGCTGTGTATTCAGTACAAATCTTTCACTTTTATAGAAAATTTGTGACAAATACTCATGTACTTTGAAAATTAAAAGCATAATATTGTAAAAAAGCTTATAGGAGAGATAGTCAGAAGCAGCTTACAACGGTTGAAAGCATAACTATTACTAGTACTCTAGCTAATCTGCGCTTTAATTTAAGTCAAGTGACCCGCTATACGGTACCTAATAGGCTTATTCGTGCACATGCGCGAAAACTTTCGTACACTTCAAAATAATCTCACTTTTGCGTTTAATAATTTTGCGTTTAATAATTTTTTTGCGTAATCTCACGAAGTTTGTACATAAAGTTTCACGGATACGATACAGTAATTATAAGTTTCTAACGCTTGAGTTGTAACGATTTCAGTAAGTACATGTACATACTAATCGTAAGTATGTTTGTAGCGTATACGCATCACAGAGTTATTACAGTACCATACCGGTCATACCGCACAAAATTCTTATAAGTGCGCGGTTGATAAGGTACTGCACAGTACACAGATGCGCTACATGCCATACATTTGAATAATAATCTGGTTACTGAGATTATACATTGATGTAAAATCCTAAAACAATTATAAAATTAATAGAGATTATTTGGATGCAAAACGTAGCCGGTGTGATAATATACTAGTAATCAGTTATAACTTGTTGTTGTTACTTCCACAGAAACATTTTAGTGCCAATTCTCTAAATGTTACTAAGCCCGATACGGAGATAGACCACTACCAACTTGTAGAGTACGGTCCAAGTTGTTACACAATTTACACAATAAATAAAGCACCGATTAACAGAAACGTTGGGGCAGAATAACCTGCGGCTCTGTATAACGTGCACAAACCGTTTAATAATAAACTAATTTATTTATACCCACGCTTTCCCTCGTATGGTATCTTTCAGACTTCTTTTGGTCTAATATCGCGCTGCCGGCTGCAGAATGTGTGTGCAATACCGGGTTACAATGTGAAGACTCGATATAATTTTAACATGTGGGTGCACACCTTAGCAGGCTCTAAATCCCTTTGCCCAACGCGGCCACGTTGCATTTGGTCGCTCATCCCTCACCTCCGGCAGGTTGCAGCAGACACCGGTAAAGCGTTATCGCAACTTTATGGATCGAACAGCCTATGATGCAACTCTCGGCGAAAGTAAAGCGATGGTGGTTCTTTTTTAAATATTTTCATTTCTGAAATCCTTGTCTAGTATCCACTTCAAATGTATGATGGAGAGTAGAGAAGTCCGAGGTGGGTGCACGAAACAAACAGCGGTGCTCCGGGAATAATTTAGCCATTGACTGCCCAGTGAAATATACAGATACAGAGTGCTGCTGAAAACAACAGCAATCCAAAACAATTTGATTATTATTTTGTAGGAAAAAAGTGCAATTATTTTTATGGGTACATCGGTGTATAGCAGTACGTGCACATACTTCCTTATATTTGTATAATACGTCGAAGTGCTCTTCGACCTTCTGTTCTTGTCTGATCTGGTTTAGTACTATAATACGAACTGAACTACGATAGATAATGTACTTAGTTTAATGAGAATCGGCATTTTATAAAGCTTCCCATCTTCAGATCATCTTTACATAATTTAGGGTTGACCGGTAAAAATTGGTACTAATATTTAGTTGAGCGGTCATTCGACGCAGAAAATTGACCACACGTTGGATAGGGAGTTTGATGCACTGCAGTGCATCAAACTCCCTATCCAACGTGTGGTCAGCTAGCTCCAATTAAACAGCTGTTTAATTTGCGCGAATCCTACATAAGCTGCCCGTACTCTACCGTGACACCGTGCTATCATCGTATAATTTGGCTCTAATTTGCGCAGGTATAACAACATGTACTATCCCAAGCAGTTGCCAAACTATGTAAACATCTTTCAGTAAGTATTAAAAAGGGCAATTACTATGCTGCTATTTCTATATAAATTATGTGTGAATATTTGAATCAATTGTAATTTGTTATTGCTGCTTTGGTAGAGTAATCATCATGTGATTATGCCCGATGCCGAGATTGAGCAATTTTCAATCGTAGTGTACGGTCTGAATTTATTTAAGACTAATACTCTGCAGCCGCAGGTTAATTAAACTAATTTCTTTATACCCACTTTTTCCTGGTTTTACATTGCAATAACAACTTTTCATGGCCTGTATAATTCCCTTGTATACTGTTCTATTGCCTCTAAAAATTAGTTGAAACTTGCTCCTATATCGCCCTGGTAGCGACGTTGGAAATCGTTCTTACGATGCCAATTTACAATGATGTGCATAAGCTGCAAATGCCGCATGCTGAAAGTATCCGTATATATCGATCTCTTCGTGCCGCTAATGTACATCCATAAACCGCGTGGCAAGTCGTTTTATTCCTAGCCAGTTTGTGAGGGTGTGTAGCTACAAGCTTGCGATCAGTCTCTGTCAGAGACTGATCCGAGTGATCAAACGCTCAAAAACTCTGATATACTAGTATGATTTTTGCAGTCAGTCTACTGGGTTTCTTACGTTGGTAAGAACTACCGATTCTATCTGAGCAGCTAGCTTCAAATTATTTTGTCTCGCGTTGCAAATATTCAGCTTAATAATACCTTCAAATTTTTAATGGTTAAACGATAATCATTATTAAATTAAAATATCTCTTTTTGTCTGACAAAACACCCCAACAACGCAGGGGACTTGGATTTGGGATAGCATGGGGAAATTTATGGAGTTGATCAAGGGCTGCTTGGGACGCGCGCCACCAACCCCGCCTCCGCGGCGGAGAAAGGATTCGTTCAAATACTTTACGACCGACTTTAGTGTTAATCCGGCAAGCCGCTGGGCTGTGGCCGTGTTTCAGACTGTCGTCGACAGTGCGAGCGCCCCTGATGTGAATATCGTCATCAGTCCGAATTTGGCAGAAATCATTCTGACGAGACTGCTTCTTGGGCCCAACAGCACGCTGAAATCTACGCTGTTAGAGGCAGTTTACAATAACAGAGGAGAGTTTTCAGAGATACCTAAAGATGGGGAATCCGCAACTACGTTCGGTTCGTTCGAGTGTTTTAATGTCGCGTTTTCTGACGACCGTTGCTGTTCCAGTTCTCGGCCAGAAAAGACAATTCAATGCTCAGTAAACGCTGGACTTGTAAAAGAGCCAGCTGATGAATCTTTTGCTGAAGGGCCCGCGACACTGAACCGGATCTGCGGAGGAAAGATTGACGGAAAATCCGTTTTTTCTTTGGTGCACATTATGCGTGAGACGCGGCGGATTCTTATTAATCCTGCCGAGTTTTCTTGTCGGTGGGATTTTGCGTTTGACGAAACCAAAAGTGGAACGTTCTACTGCCCGAATAATGTTGAGAAAACCGTGGAGTTTTTGATGAACATGACCGCCATATGTAATAAATTTAATACACATCCCGGAAGTGATGGATCGGAAGCGAATGATCCAAAGATGATTATCTTCCACGCCAATAGGGGAAAATTCAGTATTATGCTGCTGTTACCGGCGACGATTGATCATCACATAAGCAGCTTGGAAAACGCGTTGACTATAGAAAAATTGTTAGAGTGGCGGCGAAAGAGCGATGGAAACCTTGCGCACGTTATTGTACCAAAGCTCCGAATCAACACTGGATGCGGATTCGCACCCGGTAACGAAATAACACTGTCAACCACAGATTCTGCCGCAAAGTTTGAGGATCGGCCACTGGAGTGTGCCAGTCAGTCCAAAATTATTTTAAGTAAGATTACGGTGGACACTCGTGTGATGTTCACTTTTATAACACAACCCCTTGGTTTTTCAGATATGGACGAAAATGGTATCAATGCCACGCAAGCCCCATATCGCAACTTGCAGTATGATCTCCTGTTACATCAGCCTGAGTTCGTGGCAAATCGTCCGTTCTTGCTGATTATTTGGGACGAAATGGTCAACGTTCCCGTCTTCATCGGTCGCATCACGGACCCAACTGGTGCGGCTACCCAAATGCCATTACCGTGCTTCGACTGCCTGCCGCAAAGTGGTGTTCAGAATCAATAAGAAAGCTGAAACACTTAGTCGACTACGTGGGACGGATACGGTAAATGGGGCTTCCATATCCAAGCTGAACGGATTAAACAGCTTATCACCCAGTTACCGGTGAAAGAAAGCAACCGCAGTTCTTTTTTGAAAATAATAAGGTATCCGCCTATGGGAAGTGAGGACGAGGCAACCTCCGTGCCACCGGTAATAATCCAGATATTCACTGCACATTGAAGTGTGCAACCAATTCATAACAACTTCATTGTTTGAAGAGAAAAGTATGATTACTTGGTATCGTTTGAACATCTACAGGATCTGTACTTGCATGTGTACTTTGTATGTATGTGCACAGAATTACTAGTACGCGTATTTTCCTTGGTACTTGTGCCTATTGGCTAGCTAGAGATAAACCAGCATTTTACTGTACATGGAAGGTAACGCTAAAAATGTCCTACTTCTGTATCTCATCCCTCGTTTATGAGCTGTTTTCGGGAGCGTGGGTGCGGCATCCGTGTAATTTGTAAATAACAGTCCCCTGCTTTCACGATGCTGTTAAATTATTATTTTTGTGACAACTTAAAGACAGTCCCAGGAGAATTTTACCGATAGCTTAATTTGTAGTGCATTGTCGTATTCCAAATTTCCAAATCCCGATGTGTCAGTGTACGATAGCGCAGTCTGCTTTCTGCAGACAAATAAAATGCAGAACATCTGTTCATCTCTGTACATACTTTTATACTGTTCATATCTGCTCATGATACGAGTATTGCTGCTCATATTATCGTATTACTCATAATCGTATTGCTGATCTTAATACTGCTCCCATTATAACTGCTGATTAAACTGCTCATATCTGCTCATATCTATACGTAATACATATTACTCTGTAGGTCAGCTTAACACAACACTTGTACTCTGGGCATAAAGTGTTATCAATTTTTACCGACCGTAGCGAGACACAAATTGTTGCCCTACTGTCGGTACAAATTGTTATGTCTTGCGATCATGGTTAAAGAGAAAGCGCATGCAGATTTGCATTGTAATTTTTCCACACGCTAAACTTGCCGTTGACCAATATAAGTTGATTTCACTCTTCAGTTTCTCCCAGATGCAAGCGGTATCAAAGCAGTGCACAAAGTTCTAACGGTCAAAAATAACAGAGTTGGTCAAGGCAGTCGATCCTACGACGATATTGATCCTGGTGAATATCGTCGATTTTTCGGGGGATTGGGAAGTTCCGTTCAAGGAGCATGACACAGAAATCGGAACGTTTTATTGTCCGAATAATGTTGTGCGGACCGTGGAATTTACGGAAAACAGGTATGCTTTCGTTCGATCGTACAACGTTTTGCATCATCAGGATAACGTCGAAGTCGGAGACCCACATCTGATTATCCTCAACGTCATCGACAAAAAATTCAGTGTTATGCTCCTTCTGCCAACGGGAAACACTGGCGGCATAGCTGGTCTGGAGAAAATGCTGACCGCTGAAAAACTATTGACCTGGCGGCAGAAAAGTGTCGAAGGTAATTTACATATCATTATACCGAAATTCACAATTCGTTGCGGTGTTGACATGATCCCGGCCGCTAAAGCGATGGGTTTGCATGAAATGTTCGTGTTTTCCGGGACCAACTTTGAACGCATGTTTGAGGACGATGGAGGACCGAAGAAGGTCGACCAGTTCCGGCAGGAAGTGGTCATTGGTAAGATTGTCACGCGCTTGTGAAATCTTGTTTCTGCCAACAGAACAGTTAAAACACTGTATTTGTTTTCAGCGTTGGATGAGTGTGGTGTGAAGGCTTCTGCGGCCACGTTCTGCGAGATCGGATATAAAAGTTGCTGGCTGTCGCGGCCAGATTTCAATGCCAACCGTCCGTTTCTGGTGATCATCTGGAACGAAATTGCCAACGTTCCCGTTTTTATCGGCCGCATCATGGATCCCAGCTGCAGTGGTGCCTAGCAAAAGCGAACTTGTAATTGCAGAAATTCGTATTTTTGAAGATGGTTTATTGAAGTAAAGGCAGGAAGTCAAATGTTTCGGCCGTTACCCTGGTACGAACCAATGCAATAAGCAATGTACTTCCTTTAACGAGCAACGGTAGTTCATCGTTATGGCTTTCCATGCTCCAAGAGTTTTAATAAATTTTCAGCAGTGCCCATTTTTCATGATATTAGCAGCAGTTTTAACCGAACATTAATATTGTTGAGTTTTGCATTTTATATTATTTCATGCACCGATCAGATATACCTGTGTTGATAAAAAACAGTCGCTGTCGTTGTAAAAAAAACGGTGTCTCCAAATTAATACTCGTCTTCTTCGGACTGATAGTAGTTTATGAAGCAGTTTTTATTTTTTAAACTGTTCTTTGAGTCGATGTACTACAGCGGTCACACTTTGCAATTTATGTAATTAATAAATTTTTCTATATATGGTTATTTCCATTGTGAACAGCCCTTTTTGCACTGATTCCGATCATTAGTATCATAAAATTAGCCTTTATAATTCATTGCCGACGAGGACGCCGTTTATTTTTATGGTGTTTTTTTGTAGGGATTATGAATTTTCCGATCTGAGCAGTTCAGTCGGTTTGGCATTTTCTGACCTGAAGAAACTACATAATTTATTCCGTATTATTCGGAGTTATTAATTTTAGGACCGTAAATGCTAATTAATCACTGTCCTTACTTTTGCTCGGACAGTATCGAAAGGTCAGCCCATTTGACGATTACTACGGTCAGTTTTTTTACAGCTGCTTTCAAATGACTGTAAACGAGCGTTCTTACTCCTAAGTCATGTTTTTGAGCACCTTAAATTGTTAACGATTTTTTGAAATGAAGCCATCCACTATCAGCATCGTTTGTGTTATTGCTGCTAACTGGCTAGTGAGCGGCTGTTTTAATTTTGTAGAAGTAAAAGTTTAAACCTTTTAATTTGCTGATCTAAAAAGGTGCCAGTTTAAATTTACTGACTTTTTTATATAAATTCTGGACAAATTAAACGATTCATGCCCAAGTAAGCGCACACGCATCGCCGATTGTATGGTTGCGTATACTTTATACAAAAGGGGAAAACGACCAAATTCGACACATTTAGTAGAGTGAGCGCGAGAATTATAACCTGTATACTGACAAATCGCGTTTTTTTCGCGGTTTAAGCTGGAAGAGAACTTTTACAACAGCTTTCAGTTAAAAAAAAATAGATTTGGAGATTTAATTTTACCAGCACCTATGAGGCAGTATGCCGGGGCAGTGCGCGGTGAATATTGGTTAGCATAATATACCGAGTTTACTGACTTGGCAGTACCGTACAATGGCAGCTTTTAATTGACACAAGCAAACGTGCAGTGACTACAATCGTATTGCATGAATGACCTCACATGCATATAGCTACTTAGTCTCTTTCATACGCTATAATCTGTCTAAGCATTCAGTGAACTTGAACTTGATAAAATTTTAAAAGTGGGTGCTTGAGAATTCATCATAACCAAAGAGATTTGCGGCATATTGTTTTCAACTCCACTGATAGTTTGTTTCTGAACTTTACTGAGTATAGCAATCGTGCTAGGGGGCACTTACGGCATTTAACAGTAGCATCACTCCGCCAATTAATCTCCGTTGCTGCGATTGATGTGACTGCGTGAGAACGGGCACAATTTTCATTCACAGCCGATGCCGACAATATCGATAAGCTACGCCGGCATCGATGATTATTAGTGTACAATGTCTGGTCCTGCTCATCAGATTCGGTGTCAAACTGCTGTGCAAAATGATTATCGTTGTAGCAAACTGACAGAACCGCTCACCAAACAAATGATTCACTGGCAATCTGTCCAAAAGAACAGTTTTTCCAACTTTTTTATATCTGTTACTAAGAAATGTCAAGTCGCTACCATCTAAATTTATATCTTACCCGGGCGGTATTAATTATATGTATCAGCCTAATAATTGTTACTCCCGTTTTGGGTACTCTTCGCTATTATGGAACATACCTGGCATTCGGATCTGTAAGTTATCGGCATTTATTTCCTGTTTCAAAAGTTTCCCGTACGAAAGTAACTTTCCTCGTTTGGCATTAAATCACCAAATCTGGCAAGCAACATATTGCATATGCACAAATACACAGAAGTATAAAGTATATACATGTAATTACACTCGTATATAATAATTACACGAGTATATAATTACACTCGTGTATGAAACTTAGGATTTATAACAAGATCTTTTGTACAGTTTCTCAATATGATTCCTGTAAAACATATACGTGTGACTGCGATATTAAAAAAACTCCTATGTATTCGAAAACCACATGGTTTCATTTGATTTAAAAATTGCACAAACTGCATGATTGACAAGCATGAATGACAAGCATGGTTGACAAGCAGCACAAGAAAAATTTTTATAGCTCTGTATGCCTTGGTAACGACGTGTTACGCAATTTTCCAGGGGGATACGATGATACAAACTTTCCGTGCGCATTCGGGAAAGGTTCACCCAGGTGGGAGTCGCTCGATCACTAATATTCAAGGTTTTATATTGAATACTGGTTTAAAGTTAACAATCAACTCTTTATAGAACGAAAGTGGCATGTGGAATGTCTTGATGGAGAAGCTATTGTCGGAATACAGTAAGTTCAACGAAAAAATCTTTTAACTACAATGTAATATGATAATCGTGCCTACATACCTTTAGTACCGGCAATGCGATAATTAAAACAACTCTATGGTAACTGGAACAGTATTTTTTCTGAGATTAATCTCTGTGTTATTTTATTTTGGCAAAACACTGTGTCAGTCGTTATTCATTAACAGGACTAATAAAGACTTTTTGATAAGAGTTTGCTGTATGCTTACTTTTTAACAAAATAACTTACTGAACTATAATTATTCAGGGTGACGACTACAGACTTCTGTCATCAGTAATGTAGTGATATTTCATAATTCCCAGTTCCAAAAACAAATCTTTTAGGCTGCAGTTAAGCTTTCTATTTACGTGTCTGTTGTTACGATTTACTGCACACAACTAAGCCGAAATCTTGCCATCTATTATTAATTTTTTCTTTTCAGGGATTTTGTCAGCGACTTCAAGGTATGAGTAATCAATCGACTCACTTCAAAACTTTACCGGCACGGTACTCCACTTATCTGTACGTCATATACGAGTACTGCTGAACACGCTTGCCTACAGATATTGTCAGCCGTATGGTGCAAATTTATGTTTCCATTCAAACCGCCCACAACCGGAATGTACCCTTTTTATCCAATGTGAGAGCGCAATATTTTTTTTTGTTCGCATAGCACACAACGTTTTTTATGCAGATGCTTCCTGAGAAATTACACGGTCCAGTTTTTTTGCTTCAATCCTCAGCACATGCACCTCTCTGTGAATTCATTTATTACAGGCAAGAAGCAGTGTCGGAGCTTTATAGCTTTTCTTTTGGTGTAGCTTGATTGGCCATGTTTCTGATGGACTTATTTTTGCAGGATTCTGGGACGATGATGCCCAGTTTCTGGTGTCCCGAGCGGGGCAGGATGGTACTCAGCTGTATAAGTGTTGCAAAGTGCCACCGGGATATTACATCGATTACCAGAGCTGCTACTAGTACGTCACAACTTACAGTCTATTTACAAATCAATAATTAATACCAGTTTTAATTCCGTAAAGGTCAGACCCCAGCAGTAGGCCAACGTTAGTGGATAAATTAAATTTTTTAAAAGTTAGAAAAAAATGCAATCTGTTATACTCTGTACGCATAATAAATCACTAAACGTGCTCATTTTCAGTATGCCAACGCATGACCAGTACTGGGAGTACTACGTAAGTATTATCGCACACCATATCTGGTGACCTTTGTTCCGTGTTACACGTTCCGGCTTTTCAGGATGCTCAAAACAACATCATCGTATACTGTGCCACCGGCTATATCTTGACGGGCTTATCGAAAAAGATCAACCCATACGATAAAGAGGCAATGTTTGACCTTTCTAACAGCCGTGATTTGTTGAATGCCCGGTCACTGATGTAACGAATAAATTGATAATATTTAGTAATTAGTAGTGTTAATGGCAGTTTTAACTCAAAGAACTATTAGTGTACATCAGATCGCATTTTTCAAGGCTGATCTGTGTAAACGTGTACTGAAAGAAACAATCCGAAATTATTTTTTTTTAAATGTTGAAGTTCAGTTTTGTCCGAACCCGTAATCAGTTTTGAATTTTACAGTTTCATATAGAATGGATTCAGTGCTGTCGACTTGGTTTTGGTGGAGCTGGTAAATTTCCTCCGCCAGATCCAATGACAATTCGTGTGCAGCGCTCGGTCGACGCGGCCGAAGAAGACATCGACCTTTATCAGGACGCCCTAGCTTCCATTCAGATTCCAAAGAACTATTCCGAATTTTTCCGGCAACCGAGCAATAAATTGTTACCAGATTTGGACCGATGTGATGATGTCAGCACAACGGCACCTGTTACACTGTAAAATCTCGGCGCTTTTGTGCGACTAGGTAGCTGTCCCAACACACTCTGTTATTCGGTAGTGTACGTCTAGTACACCCTTTTCGAAAAAGTGTTAGTTTCCAATGAGCTATAATACCTGAAATTTTTTTTCTTTGGTATTTTCAAGCGTTCACAAGCTGGAATCGGCCATAATTATTGGTTTTGTGATCGGAAAGTTAATGCAGATGCCTGCCTAGACTGTTTGTTTACAACTATTCTAAAACTGGTTTTTTACTTGTTGAATGTTTGCCCGTTTCCATGGCTTACGTATACTGAATTCTATGATATTGATAAACCGGATTTCGTGGGTTATTGGTGATTTTAGACGAGTGATTTGTGACTCTATGGTGACTGCGGCCTGCAGAACTGCGGCAAGCCATGGGGAAATTTACAGAAATTATCAAAAATTGCTTAGAGCGCACGAAACTCAAACCCCCGAGGCGGACGCCAATCGAATTCCGACCCTTTACGACGGACTTCAATGTCACTTCGCGAAGCCGATTTGCTGTCTCCCTGTACCAGACTATCGCCGCGACGGCGAACGCGCCCGATGCCGGTATCTTTATCAATTTAGAATCGGGGGAAATCGTCATGACAAAGCGGATTCCGGATTTCGACGGCAATCTGCAGTCAACTCTAATAGAACTTTCTGGCCATGAGGAAGGTGATTTTTCGCAGATACCTAAACGTCAGGAGGCGTATAATCCCGTCAACGTTGCAAGTTTCGATGACAGTCGTTCTTCGGCTACTCAGTACGAGGAGACATCCGAATACGCAACAAATCTAGGATCGCAAAAATCTGCCGAAACACTTCCTTCAAAATGACTTCTTATCAGACTGAAGTGCGAAAGTCTACTGGAAAAATAACGAAGCTACTGCCTTGCTTTGAACCCGAAACGCCGGCGAATATTAGCGAATTTTTTGGTCGGTGGGAATTTCCGTTCGACAAAGCAGAGACAAAAACAGGGACGTTTTACTGTCCGAAAAACGTTGGGAAGAGCATGAAATTCATGCGGAACAAAGTTGCCGTCATTCGTCAGTTCAATCGCGGTGGCAAAGAACCCGAGACAGACGATCCGCAGATGGTTATCCTCAATATTGTCGAGGGAAAAATCAGCGTTTTGATAATATTGCCGGGGAAGGGTTCCGTGGGAGGAGACAGCTTGGAACAAGCGCTGACCATCGAAAAATTGCTACAGTGGCGACGGAAAAGCACAGCCGACGTTGCGTACATTGCTGTACCTAGGACCCAGGTTTAGTGTCTCTTGTGAAGGGAATTTGCCACCGGTTCCGGAAGCGTTGAGTCTGGACAAATAACACCGTCAGCCACAAATTCGGCCGATTTGTTGGAGGAACAAGCGAGACCGCTGTTTGTCAAGGAAATCCAATTCCAATGTGTCTTGGGTGAGGTTGCTTATGCGTTCGTGTGATCAGATTCGGTAGTGAACAGCACTTTTTAAAGCAATTCCTGTTGATGTTTGCAGAGCCGAACGAAGATGGTGTAGCAGCAGCTCCGGCTCCAAATTGCAACAAACGGTACATTAATTTCCATGATATCGATAAACCGGATTTCCTGGCGAATCGTCCGTTCTTGTTAGTGATCTGGAACGAAATGACCAATATTCCCGTCTGTATTGCTCGCATTACGCTTAGGGATTATATTGGCGAAACCGGGAAATAAGGTGCACCCCTCACCGTTGGCAGCCTCCACCTAGCATTCATGCATGGCCGCATGGATCTTGCTCCTTATACAGCTGAAGATTATTTTGGCTGGCTTATCTGCAAGCCTGTTTTACAATACACATGCGATATCAGCACTGTATGCTGATATGACAGTGTATGATGGTACTTGCATGAGAGCTGTACCATGTATGCCAGTGTATTCGGTTTATGCGTAAAGTTAAGTCAACTCATGGAGTAATACAGTTTTAATTATTTTGTGGGCATGTAAGTAAAACGTGAACAAATGCGACAGTAAAACGATTGATTAATATGTTCACTATTTGTCTGATCATGTATAAGTACTGCCACCAAAATTAATAACTTCCATGGGCGTACTAATACCACTTAAACAACAGCGGAAATTATGAGTGCCATGTCGGCTTATAACTTAGTTATAACATGTATCGTTTAGGTTCATGTAGCTGTGCATGTATCTGTATATATAATCGAAAAATTCATGTAACTGTACATGGATTCTGTACATGACTGCACATAAATATTAATTATTCGTGTATCTGTACACGAATCTGTATAAGTTTATGTATCTGTACATGTTTCTGTATAAGTTCGTGTATCTGTACATGTATAAGTTTTACACCACTGCATGCCAAAACTGCCGGTATGTGCGGCTGTACGAGTACACGTTATATCGATCCATTCCTGCAGGCTCCCGTTCATATGCAACATCGCGTGGCATGCCGCTGTTTTTACGTGAGTTTGTGAGTGGGAGATCAGTCTTCATATCTCATGCAAATGATGGTTTTTGCCGCTACTCACCGTGCCTATAATTCTGCTGACGATAATTCACTGTCCTAGCTGTAGCCCGTGCCACAGTGAATCTACCTTAAATTTCTCTTTTCTTGCGTGCTGTCTGCTCATATTATCATGCTTAGAGGTTTCTTTAAACATTAATCACTGTTCAAGTTGCTTATTCTCACGAAGTACTGAACCTTAAAACGCACCGCCGTACATTTGCGGAAATCATGGGAAAATTTCTGGATCTTATTAAAAGCTGTTTGGGACGTGCAGCTCCGCAAGCTCCGCGGCCAGCGCCAAGAAAATACAAACTGTTCACTAAAGACTTCAGTACAAACCCGCACAGCCGTTGGGCGGTGGCCATGTTCCAGGCGGTCACGGACACGGCGAACACTCCCGATGCAAATTTCGTTGCAAGTCCCTACGCGGCAGAAGTCATCCTGACGGCTCTATTTCCTGATCTGAAGGGCCCACTACATTCCATCATAATGCCTCCGGATGTGTTTTATTTTGATGGAAATTGTTATCCCGGATTGGATCAACATGCGGCGACCCCGGACGGTGCGATGAGCGGTGGCAGCGTTGCGTTTTACGATGATAACTGCCGTTTGGAACCTCAGCCCGAGAAAGCAATTGAAAGAGCTGTTAAAGCCGGGTTTATAAAAACGACAGTTGAACGGTTCCTTGAGAAAACGTTTGAGACAACGGGTCAGTTTATCGACGGAAAAATTACCCTGTTGTTGACGCATTTTAAATGTGAAGCGCAGCTACACTGGGTGAATATAGTCGATTTCACCGGACAATGGGAATTTCCGTTCGAAAAAGCAGATACAATAAGCGGAACATTCTACTGTGCAAATAATGAGGAAAAAACCGTGGAGTTTATGAGGAACGAGAATGGCATAATACGATGGTTGTTTGGCAGCAACGAACGACGCGAAGACGATCCGCAAATGATCCTGCTCGACATCGTCGAGGGAAAATTCACCGTTATGCTGCTCTTACCGGCAAAGCGTACTGACGAATTAGACAGCTTAGAAAAACAACTGACCATCGAGAAATTGTTAGAATGGCGACGGAAAAGCGCGCAAGACCTTGCGTACATTGTGATACCAAAGTTCCGTATCAGTTGTGATGTGAATTTGCAGCCGGTTCGGATAGCGTTGGGTCTGAAAAGATCTAATGAACCATCCACCCCGTTTTGTCCCGAGATCTCAGAGGAAGACAGCCGGCAAATGTGTGTCAGCCAATTCCGACAGCAAGTTACCTTTGGCAAGTTAATGATGTCTTTTCGTATGGCTACCAATTTTTGTAATGCGAAATTTTTTGCAGAGCTGGACGAATACGGTATCAACGCAGCGCCGGCTGACTACTGCAGAAAAGAATGGGGTATGACTATGCTGAATGAAAAACCGGATGTGTTTGTTGATCGTCCGTTCTTGATGGTCATTTGGGACGAAATGGCCAACGTGCCCGTCTTTATGGGTCGCATCACTGATCCGAGTTTGTCTGGGTTTCCAGCACACTCATCTAGTTCGACCGCAGCCGGCGAAACGGAAGTGGCGGCTGATCCATGAGGTCCGCACTGAGCTCGGGTTGGGACGAAATAGACAGCGGCTTCGCGATGTGCACTGAAGCCAAAGGATCCTTCTGAAAGTCTGGATTACAGTGTAATTCAGGGTTCTTCTCGGCTCGATTGTTCGTGAGAAACAACTTGCTGAGAAGAATCCTGAATTGGAAACCCTTTTTTCCTAGCAGCAGTTCGTGTAATGTGTATTGGTCATGACCTCGGAATCGTGGGCTGTGAGCAAATCTTTATTGGCAAACCGGTCAAGAAAAGTTGGCCAAGAAATCCTCCAACCATAAGGGGCTTTGCTTTACTAGCAAAGCGTTCGCAAATTATAAGCGTTGTATTAAAATGGTCATGCGGAGTTCGTGTAAAATATTAGTTTTGGAATCCCAGTGGTTCTTAAGCAGCTGTATTTGGAGAACGAATATCAAGCTATTAAGTTAACTTCGTAACCGATAAAAAGTTCAATTATTCTTAAGCCACTGATGGGAGTACTTCACTTTACTGATGTTGACCTTTTATTTCTTTGAATTTAAGTTGCGAAATATAGTGTACTATATCTCTATATCTTGACCAAAAAATCACGATAAGGAAAACATGGGATTCTACGCTAAATACAACAAAGGAGAAAGCGATAAGGAAAACATATGATTTTACGCTAAATACAACGGTAAGGTAGTAATAATGTCTTCCAGGTGAGGCAGTCATATTACAATTGCAGTCCGTCCCCCTCCCCCCCGCATTAATCAAACCTATAGCGAGGAAGGACGATTGGGATATTCGGAAATAAAATCGTATCTCCGTGTAAACTGATTCTTGTCTTTGGAGCTTTCATGACATTAAACAAACTTCAATCGGACACTTTGTATGAGCTTCTGGAACTCTAAAAAAACTGGAGAAAACGGTAACTCCTGATGAGGAAAACGGTCGGCCGGTGGATTAGATATTTTGCGATATAAGAAAAAAACAGCAGTCGCTGAGGCCTGCGGAGACCTACCTGGATTACCATTTACCTTATCTTAAAATGCGTCTTAAAATCATTGCAAATATTGCGTCTTAAAATCATTGCAAATAAATTGGTAGGTATGTTTAATAATGACATTGTATAAAGAAGAAGAGCGGTGTACAGCCCTTGCAGCTTTATCAAACATCAAACGAATGTACACTAAAAAGCACTGGGCTCGGTGCGCCATAAAACTTACCACACACTGAAATAACACAAAAGTAAAAACACAAATACAAAAACTTTGAATAGAAATAGTCTGAAGAAAACATTTACTTTGTTCATTTGTCGGAACAGTTTCGAAGTGAGGATAGGATAGCAGGTCACCTACCGTAAACATTGAATTTCACCCCTGGGGTGCAAAAAAAGTTCAAATGTCCCGCTGTAGGGGGACTTATTTCGGAGAGGGGTGCGCTATTTCGATGGGCGGTGTTATTTTTCGAGCCGTGTGTGCGGAGGGGCCGTTATATTTCAAACAGCTCCGCATTCTGTCTATTGTAACTTAATGCAGTAGTTACCAGTATTTTCAATTAGCACAACCTTGCAAGCAGCATCCCGAAACACTGTCTACAACTGTTTGCCAATGAACACCACTATAATTATTTTCATGCCCGTTAACGGTTTCCCATTAAATCATAGAAATTATTATGAATAAATATGCGGACATTTATTGACGCCCTCGTGGGTGGTAATTTTGGTGCGAGGCATTATTTTTCTAATTTATAGGGAGGCTGGCTCGTTGCGAATGGGGGGGGGGGCTTATTAAGCGAGGAGGTGCAGATTCGTTAATTACCGGATATTATTCGTACTTATAGCGCAAGTTTTTTTGGATAAATGCTTGTTTAAAGTATCAGCAATTTCCAGCAACAGATTCGCTTCATTATTTATAAAAGCGTCCTTTATTATTATTATTATTACAACTACATTAGCCAAACTCCATTACGGATAGTTTATACCCTATAGGCTATAGGTGGAGGACCTGCCGGTCACGGTGTTGAAATCATGGCATCAGCTAAACGTTCCTAAATTTCACAGCCAAGAAGCTCAAGATCATACATACAGTATGCGCTTGTTGCTCCACCTTTTAATGCTCACGTTCGCCTGTTTGTGTGAACTTGAACATTCAGGCGAGCCCCTACCACGCTCAAAGTAGGTAAAAAGTGAGCAGTTGCACATTAAGGAATGGTAATACGATGACCCATTTATTGCATTGAGTAAGGCAGCGTTCAAATGTTACGTAACGGCCATGGGTGGGGGGGGGTGGTCTGGCCGAAGCGTTACGGCTTTGTTACATAGGTAGGGGGTGGGTGACGAGCATGTTACGTTACATTTGGGCACCACTAAAGATAAAGCTGATACTCTACTTTATTTGCAATATGTATGGAGACGAGCATCGCTCACAGAAATACATTCAAATGAAAAAATTGTCCCAGTTGGCACGAGAAGGGACCGTAATATTTTTTATCTGATTAAGCTGATTAATGTTTCATCTTATTACTTCTGGAGCGTACAAAACACGCAAATTTACCAAGTCTATCCTTCCCACACGTTCCCCGATATGTTAGCAATATTTTCTTATGAGTATCTTGCCCATTGAGCTGTATTTAAAGTGAAATGACGATGACTACTCAAATGACGATGAAGTCATGCAAAAGCTAATGTTCGTGATTTTTCTATTAAAATTTTTAGGAAAATTTTTTCGAATTATGGGGGGTGGGGGGTACCGAACCCGTTACGTACGGCTGTAGGGGGTACAAAACTTTGTTCATGAAGTGTTACGGTTGTGAAAAGTTCTGGTCATGAAATGTTGTGGTTGCGAAATGTTGTGGTCATGAAACGTTACGGTTGTGAAACGTTGCGGTCATGAAATGTTACAGTCGCGTAGCTTGCATGGAGGATGTTGCACGGGGAAGCCGAATCAGCAGTCTGCTGAACTGCGTTCAACTGGTGCTGGAGAACAACGGCGCCCGTCTTGATTGCTTCACGTTACACCACCACGGTCGGCGGCGCAACAATACTGAACACTCACCAACACAATTTTGGCGATTACTGTGAAGATCTAGCCCGTCTATACTCAAAGCTAGCACCGGACTGCCATCGCATAACTTGGACCAACGCCGTGCTGTGCCACGGAAAAAAGGTCCTTCGAGTTGATTTTTTGATGTTCGCGCGTGGATTTTAACCATCACAGAATCGATGCCGCCCATATCTGGAACTTGTTCAAAGCACATCTGCCTCCTGTGCCGCCAATGAGCTTGCTTCGAATGGAGCAGTGTATACCGGCAGAAGTCGAAGGAATGTCTTGGAAGACATCCAGGCAAATTACCAGAAGGAAGAATAAATTCTAGGCTTAGAGAAGTTCTGCATCAGCGTGTGCAGTGGTTATTTATTTTGCAGATTCTGGAGGCGTACCAGGGCTGTGATCCGCGGCCCTCTGCCCATTATCACAAGCGGCAGTGGACGGTGGGGGATCTGGAGAGTTCGGACATTCGGAAATTAAATCGAATCTGTCTGTATGTTTTGTATCTGCGGTGTTCAGCTAGGGAATTCGACTTCCCGTGGACCAGCGAAAGCTCTGACGATGAATATTAACAGTTAATCAATGAAATGTTTAGATACTTTAACGAGACAGCAGTCCTGAAGCGTCGCAAAGAGTGTTTCATGTTGCAGTTATTTCGTAGGGATTATTTATCATATTTTATTAAGTTTCAGGCCGGTGCACCGTGCCACTGCACACTATTTGAGTTGCTCGTAATTGACATGCTAGTCTTTAAGGTTTTGTTAGAAAAACCAGAAAGTGATCGTACCCAGACAGAACCGCTTGGCCGAACCGGTGGGAACATCAATGCTGTAATATTATTTTCCGGGAATGTTTTGTTAGAACCTTAAACGTTAATCATTCGGACGGAGTACTGTATCTGGTCGGGCAACAGCCATAAATTTGTGGAAGCAAAGGGAAAATTTCTAGGCGTCATCAACGCGTTGACCCATTCAGCTTGAAAACGGTTGATTGGATCGAAAGGGAATATCAACAAAATCAAATAAAAAACCAGTTGTATTCTAACGGAAAAACTGGCATCCATCCGAAATGGTGTGCCCGTAAACGCCAGCTCGGCGACGGCTTTACACAGTCGAAACATCATTTCTAGCAGTTTTATGTACGCGCCGCACAAAGGTCAAAAAGGCCGAAGTAGCCTGTGCTTTCATCTGACGCGCCGAAACCTCCTCTAGCCAAAGGAAGGGAAGCTTGGAGGGAGCCGCTGCATCCAAATGGATATGCGATTGGATGTTTTATTACTTTTTGTTGGATGGAGAGCGCTACGTCATAATTCATTAAGCGTGGGGAGAATCGGAAATGTAGGGAAAATCGCCGCAAATACTTTTCGTGCTTGTACGGCAGCATTTATGCAGTTCGCAGCCGCGCCAAACAGTTGTAAAACAATGTAAAGTGTAGAGCCACCGTCACACAGAAGGATTAGCTGACACGGAATTAGATTTAAACAGTGAGAGCTTTAAAGAGGTTATTCCGGCTTTGGCACTCCCCACAGCATCTTTGTTCATCAGCAGCAAGAACACCTACGGTACAGTCAGTTTAATCGCAACACTCACTCACATACAGTAATTCAGCGTTACTGAACCGTACACTCTCTGAAATTTATTACTGTACCTACCGGACTACCAGAGTATCCGATTTGTTGCAAAACCATGAACCATCCCGCGCGTACTTTATCGGTAAACCAAAATTTTGGGAATCCGTAAATGGCTACCATAAACGGCAGGTAGCAGACAGCCTGCCACGCATACGAGCCGAACAACAACTTGAACAGGATAAAGCGCTTCCTCTGTAAGGCAGACATTCGCGCTCTTCTGCCCCTTCGGCACGGGCCAATGAAGATTATGCTGTACAGAACCGCTTGAGCCGCCATAGGCAGGTATATTCCTAATGTTCCGTGCATGCTACGGATGTGATTGTTCGTCACCCGAATGTACCCACAATCAAACTCCCGCATCCCGAATAAACTCCCGATTCCTAACAAAGCCGGGATATCAATGGCGGTGCTAATACACCACGCCGTTGCAATAAATATAGCGTTGGCTCGATTGGAGGAAATCATGCTGTACTGATGTGGAAAGATTAACGCGACGAAACGGTTAACCGCCAGAAATAAGGAGCTCCACGTTTCACTGCTGACCATCATCTGGCAGACGAAATGCATCGTGGTACAGTTGATGCCGTTTAGGGAGACACCAAGCCAAACCGCCCACCCGGTGACCATGTAGAACGGGTTGCTGATCCCGGTCTGCAGAACGTGGAGGAGTTGGTGATGGGCGATGAGGATACCGGAGCCGGTGCGTAGCTGCGGTTGCATCATGATGGTCAGCATCAAAGTGGTCGATAGGACCACACCGATGACCGAGACGACGATGAAGATAGATACCTCTGCGATTAGTTCATTGCGACGGATTCCTGCAATCTGGGAAAGGTTGGCTTGCATTGCGGAAATATTCATTGTGGAGTTTAACATAATGCAGTGCAATCGAAAGCTTTTTTTTTCCTGCTATTTGTGGATTGCTACCATCGGCCAAATAACTCCTGAGAAAATTCTCACGTTTTGTAAACAGGCCGTCAATGGCGCTTACTCTACTGCAGCAAAATGTGTGCCATAATACTGTAACGCGAAAAATTTTGAAAAATGGGAAAAACAAAAAACAAGCATACGGATCATAAACTACAAAAACTAAAACACAGCAAATAAAATCTAAACTTATCAACAAAATCTAAAACACTGCATCCAGACTGGAATCGTAATATTGCATAGACAACTGTAACCCTAGACATCAGCAGACAAGATTAAGATCGCGGGAAACCATATCCATGAAACAGATCACATGCCTTCTCCAGGTGCACTAGTTTATCAAGGTTATTAATTCCTGTAAGCAACCGGGATAGGTAATTAACGGCAGTCTGATCTTTAATTTCAGGCGTCTCTACCTTCACTGTCCTCTCTTAATGATATGTTTACCTCCGCAACTGCAGCCAGCGCATCCGTTTCCAGAGACGCGCGGATGTATCGCTATCCAAATTTCAACAGTTGTTGCCTAACGGTTCGGTCGACTGCATAGTGCATACCTTGTCGGCTTTTAGCAGTTACGATGCTTACTGTACTTACAGACACATTTTCCGTACCGATGTGGCTCTTTACTTTTGAAAACAGCACTAACCAGCTCACAATATTAAAGAGAACGAAAAAATTGTCTTCCTGCTCCTACTCTATGTGCTGAAGTACACAGAGATAAATGGCGAAATATTAGAAGTATGGATGGTGCATACCTAGACGTTGTCAGAAAATATATTAATGATGGATAAGAATTTTCCGCATGCAAATATATTTGTATGCTGTCATATGAAGGACTTGGCTCGTGCAAAAAAAGAATTCTTGATGCTAGTGTTGCTAGATACACCATGCAATTATGTATGCAATGCACGCTAATGCATTTACTATTTAGCTTAAAATACGATACTATTTGCTCCGAAATCATGTACTTTGCAGTTTTAATGTTGGTCAACACAACAACCATCGTCGCAGTTAATTATAACGAGATAAAGGTCCTCGATATTCATTCTTATTACTCTTTACATGCAGCAAAGAAATACCAATTACCATAAAACGTGACAGAGACATGCAACTGACAAAATGATGTACGTACCTGTACATGCGAAAATTAGAAAAAAAAATCTTTGACAACAACACTTTGTAGAGTGCGCAATCTACTAAAATAATTGCGACACAGAGTAAAATGCTAGCATTTTGGCATAAAAATCTTTGGCTACACCGTGCATGTTTATTAAACACTTATGTACGTAAATAATGAAAACATACGTGTACAGAAGATTTATAATTTTGGTGCCTACATTTTGGTGTCTTATTTTGCGCCTTGCGTAGTCGCTATTGTTGTTTGTCGCTGCGTGGTTTGGCTTATTTAAATTCAAAATCCCATGCTCACAGTTCACACTTCACCGTACAATACCGATAGAAGTATCGGTTCTACAAATGTACCGTGCAGATATCATGTATGTATTCCACGACAAACGTCGCCAGTATGTTAGGGAACGATGAAATTCCGAAGCGGGTCGGCCAGCTCCAACAGGAAGTTGTCCTCGGTAAGTTCACGCCTCAAATCCACCTACTGCCAACGTAGCGGTTAATAATGCCTTGTTGTATTTGCAGAGGTGGATGAGTATGGCGTGAAGGCCACTGCAGCCACATTCTGCGCACATGAACAACAGCAGCACAGACCGCCAAATTTTGCGGTCGACCGACCGCTTCTAGTGATCAACTGGAACGAAATCATTAATGTTTTTGTTTTCATCGGTCATATCACAAATCCCAGCTGCAACGGTGTCTAGCGAAAAATAGCTCCTGAAAGGAGCTATTTTTTTGCGATGGTTTGCTAGTGCAGAGTTTAGCTTACTTTGATTCACTCAAAGCATAACTTGGTTACCGAAGCGGTAAGTACATAATATAGGTATAATCCTGCAAACAAAAAACGGTACGAAGTAATACTACGTAGTACGTAGTACGTACCTACATGGGTTTTCATCGCCTAGAACGAAAAATTATGATTTCGTCCAGAATGCTTTTTAACCTAGCTTATGCTTAAAAATGTTTATAGCATCCTTTTAATTTAGCATTTGTGTTGGTGAGTTTTGCATGTACATGTTCCATCCGTCTATACGAATGCCCGTTATTTGAAGTAGTATCTTAAAAAATTGTGGAAAAATGATTTTTATTGCGAGCTGACCGGTACGTTTTGATAAAAGTCAAGTTGCTACTTTTCAAACGAATGACACCGCGTTGTGGCAAGTCCAAGATAAATGAAAGCCGTACACGCTTGTTATTATGGTAAAAGCAAACTGAAGCACAGGTCGTTGAAAATTCCACTAAACCGATAAGAAAACCTAATGACGGTCAGTATGCGAGGAAAAATGTAACATAAGCGAGATGAGCTTCGGTTTTATTTATTCGTACTTTGTATACGCAGTAGATTGCTGTTTCTTTAAAATTATTAATATTAATTAATAATTTAATACTGATATGAATATTAATATGAAACAAGTATCTTAGTTGAGCAACCGCTGATGAAGTTGCGGAATTATTTTTTTCGAGCTACACGTTTCGATAAGCATGCCCTCTGCTAAAACCATCAACGACATTTCAGTAATCTAGTTCCGTACTCCGTGGACTCCTGAGCACGTGGACTTTCGAAAGTGAGTATGATAATGTAAGTCAGTTTTAATGTTTACGTTATATCTGACTGCGCTGGAAGCTTGGGACACAAAAACTAAACTCAACACTAAACCGTTTTAAAATTTAAGCCAAACCAAATGCCGACATATTCAACGCAAATCGCAGTGGAAACTAAAGCATCGCGTTTTGCACTAACCATAAGATACCAAGCTTACAATGGTTTTACGTGCGGTGACCAGTTTATGTATGTATTCTGATGACCCTGACATTTCACATATATATGTAATTAATAATTTTAATCGTTTTCTTGATCCTTGACGCCATCATTATGTTCATCCTCTGCGTTGTCTTCTTCGGAGCTATCGCTCATCTGCAATAGGGACTTGGTCGACATCTCCACGAAACGTGACAGAGCAACCAAACAAATCGGGTTTAATTTCCTAATATCCAAGCAATCCAAATTGTTCAGTGTCCATTCTTGGGTCGAATAATTCGCCGAGGGACGTGGATCATCAGATTGAAAGGCTTTCAAAATCTGCAAAACCAGTTACGGCATTATTGCAGCATTATTATTAGCAACGCGATTTGCAAATCACCTCAATAATCGTTGCGCATTTTGTTTTGGATTTGGCCCGGATTGCGCTCGATATACACGAGTGCATACGTCCTTGATCCAATCCACGATCACTGTCAACATGTCTTTCAAACAATCCCCGAACTTGTGCCGTACCGATGAGGTGCGTACTGAAAACGGCATATGGAATGCGGACACAAAATGAGAATGATGCCACATAGTACCGCCAAGTGTAGTTGATCCAGATGATGCGAGGACACCACGGCGCGATACTAGAATACGTCTGCGCCAGATTGTTAAAGTAATCTTCTAAACAGGCGATGAGACAAAAGTTGTGCATGTCGCGATAGTATAATACTAACCGCTCGATGCAAGTGCCGGTTTCTCTTAGCACCTGTTGAATGTAGCCTAGCGCTGCAGCAATTTCACTTCGGTGTTGCCCTTCTGGACTTCGACCACGATAGTTTTCATAGTCATCCCGAAACGGTATGCAGAGTGTGCGCGTACCCGCGGTAATCTGCGTGAGGATGCAGGCGTACGTGACGTAATTACCACCAAGAATGACATCGCCATCCCGGTCATGAAACGTTGCATCGACAACACGGCACAGCTCCGGCAAGCAAATAATTTCGTCCCACAGTGGACAGGTGCGGCGGCAGCGTAGCCGATCAATGGTGCCCATGGACTGGAAGATCTCTTTCAGCAGTTCCGTTGGCAACAGGATTAAGGCGAGTCCATCTGCAGTCACGATTTCCTCTCGTTGTTCGCATTTTTGTGACTTTCTCGGATATTTGTTATTTCTATAGTGCAAAGTATTTGATGTCGGCGCTGGTGGAAATCTGTTGAGATGCTCCTAAGAACATCCTTGTTCTCCTATGCAAAACAAACACCTTGTGTCAATAATATTAGGTTCTTGTACGAACGGGATTTTGTCATCGCAAGAAACATAATTTAGGATAATAATTTATTAGAAATGCCTCTTCATAGACAACGTTGCCATGACTAAGTGCTTCACCGAGTGATTACAGTAGATTTCAGCAAATTACAGCTAACAGAGGAAAGCACGGTCTACATGCTAACTGCAAATTTGTGGGACATCGAACTGGAAGTAATGGTCTTGCATCATTCTCACATAAATAACCCCCTGAATAGCTGAAATATTTGTGCAACCGCGCTAGCGTTGCTTTTGTTTTGCAGTCGTGCGGATCGTACCGCAGTACTTATGTTTTTCCTGCTACTTTACTTACAGCAACCTGATCCAGCATTGACTTCGTATTGTTCCGTTGCAGATAGGTCATCTTGTCACCAATAACAGATACGATGTGCATGGCATTCATGTAATAACGCTGCATTTCCCGACGGAATCGCAGTGCCACCGCCGGCTCCAATGTGGTCCAAAAGCCTGCAGGAAACCAACACGAATGCCGCACAAAATAATCTCGCTGAAGCGCTCTGTTCTGGCGGTCGGTTTCCGAGAGCGGTAGCCGCATCTGCTCGAATGGAAGCAGTAGGCGAACACGATACCCTTCCAGCATTACTTCCACAAGAGCGTGAGAAGAGAGATATTCAAAGCGGTACATGAGCATCTTGGCGGGATACCATTTCCAAGGCTGACTGGGATGTTCGCGGAATAAGGCTTCCACGCTAGGATGATTTTCTCCCGCAGGCGCGGCCGAGAAGCCAACTCCTCTCCACCGCCAGAATGCGCTGTCCAGCCAGCTTGCAGCAGGTGTGTGCTTGCAAGAACTGTCAAGAACATTCTCGTGTCTAACCGGCACCGACCGCTGCCCCGGACACCCGAAATCTACGAGCAGACGCTGCGAACCGTCTTCGGCATTTTCCAAATCGATAACATGGCCATGCTGCACTAGCCCGTCAACTTCCACGTCCACGGCGTTCCATGTGTACACTAAGCGCGTATACAAGTGCATGTTTACCTTGTTTGGGCACGAATATTATTGTTAAGTACCGTATGTTACAGGTCTACTCTGTTAAAAAAGTTCTTTTAAGCATAGATGGGATGGCTGCAACGGAAGCATTGGGAGGATTAGACGTAAACCTGAAATCATGAATCAATTATCAATCTTTCATTCCACACTGCAGACAAAATCCTGTCAAGAGTTGATCGTGAATGATACAAACTCAGCACGTTCGGGGCAACAGACAAGTATACTCAACTGTAAAATTCAAACCCGGCGCGGAAAAACAGAAAACCACAACAAATAACGACACGCGGAGGCACTGCCAACAGTATGCTCTTGTCTGAAGCCGCTGCAGCTAATGTGCGCTTGTGATTTTGCCGCATGCGGCAAGCTCAAGATGGGCGGAAACGATACGGTGGTTGTTCTAGAATAATTACATATTCAACTGACAAACTTTGAACACAGCTCATAGATGAAAATCAACTAACAGTTTGCGGTTGCATCTATGCGATGGGCTGTAATTTTAAAGAGAAACATTTTTTACCAGGGCGTATAATTACAGTTTTATTAGCATCGAAGGGTTTTTCATTCACTGCAAATAGATTCTGCAACCAAAGGTACGCAACCATGTCTCTATTTGCCTGACACCGGAAACAATTTATTCTTATGCGTACGACTGGAATACAGTGGAAATATCTTTAAATATCTTGGATGGATGTGGAAATATCTTTAAACGGAAAACGTGGAGGTGGAAATATCTTTAACTGGCAAAACTGGGATGTGGAAATATCTTTAAATGGCTACGACACCGGTAAAGAAAGCAACGCAGTGAATTATTTGACTTTTTACGCATAGAGTTACAACTATAACACTAATTCTAACTGTGCATTTATGAGTGTACATTGTACAAGTACAGTACATGATGCCACCAGACTATTTAAGAAATTTGCAGTTAAAGTACTACGATTGCCAAAGCCGAAGATTGAGTCTATCTTAATTTTCCCAAGCCAAACATGAGAATAGGTAACGAAGCCAACATAAAACAAACACCCAAGATCCCACACCATTAACCCGTTTCTACTTTGTGACTTCTATCGTCAAGCACTCCACTGTGTTATGCACGAGTACCGTAAGAAAATATTAATAGATCGTTCCATTAACAACATATTTTACCACAGGTATGATGGTGCACATTGGATTCAGGTTTACCCTATAAAAAATTTGCTTACAGTAAGTAGTTTTTATATCATATGATTGTATTAGCAAAACACTGTTCAAATTTCCAAAACGGAATCTGTAAATCACCGGCGAGATGAATTCACTGCCCTTTTTAATCCTTTTAACATCCGCATGCATTTTTTTCCTGTAACTGGTCACAATTTTTGACGTTTCGGTGCCCGCGAGGTCATTGCCAGTGTTCCTTTCACTGATATCCGCATTCGGCTGATGCCCGGATTCGTCATTGGTTGTAAGTTACCCAGGCAGGATAAACATTATTTTTGTGTCTTCACCTTTAAATCCTGGTTAGTAGGCAAGCATAACAGGCAGTGTGTGCCTTTTGACTGTTTTGGATGCTCATTGCTTAATGAATAACATTTTATCTTACTTTAGAATTTAGATGAACCTACATCCGGCAGTCTCCAGAGGATTTAAAAACATCCTAATTCGGTGACTGCTACTTTGGCATAAGTACTGTAACTATACACACATAAAATTTTCTTAAAACCAACTGTAGACTGGTTAAGCGAATACCTAAAGGGGCACGTAGAGCAGTTGCTACGGCTCTCACACATGTAATTTCTCGATGTGTTACGGAGAATTCAGCGCAGTCGTGGGAAGCACTGCTAACTTTCGCTTATTATGTTTTTCGTCTGCCGGGAAAAACCAAGAACGACCGTAGTCAGTCACTTGCTACGCTGATCAAGTCGAATATAGCTAAGTTTGAGTCAGGTGTAAGAGATGTTCCCGTTGCACCCACAAAGCCACAACGGTCTTTCGATTTACAAAAATTTGTGCAGGGAAAAATTCAAAATGGCGACGTTTCTGGTGCTGTTCGCGTTCTTTGTTCCGAGGACGCCTTGGCACCGCGCACAGCAGCCACTTTCGCTGAATTGCAGAAAAAACATCCGGGTGTTAACCCGGATGCTCGCTACCCACCATTGTCATCTGCTCAGAGTGTACAAATTAGCCGTGTAATGCAAAAAGAAATTTTCGAAGCAATTATTAGCTTTCCAAATGATTCAGCTGGTGGTCTTGATGGATTTCGACCACAACACTTTAAGGACCTGATAACTAACATCGCGAATGACAGTTCCGCCCAGCTGTGTGAGCAGTTAGCACTGTTAGCAGATCTCATGTTTTCCGGCCGTGTTCCCAAAGAAATTTTGCCAGTACTCTACGGGGCAAATTTAACAGCGCTGAATAAAAAAGGGGGTGGGATAAGACCAATAGCAGTTGGTAGCACAATACGTCGTATTGCAGCTAAGATTGTGGTGAAACGTGTACAGCAGCAGATGGGCGAAAAGCTTAGACCAAAACAAATGGGTTTCGGTACTCCTGGCGGTTGCGAGGCCGTAGTACATGCAGCACGACGTTTTGTCACGACACCTGCAGATGAAGTGCAAGTTCTCGTAAAATTCGACTTTCGCAACGCTTTTAACACAATTCACCGTGATAAGATGATGCAGTGTGTTCAGTCAGAGCTCCCAGAATATGCCCATTTTGTTAACCAATGTTACCGCGATCCCAGCAGTCTAGTTTTTGGTGGAATGGGATATTCAATCCCAAGCAGGCGTGCAACAGGGAGATCCTTTAGGCCCTTTACTATTCTGTCTATTAATATTATCGCTAATATTGTCATTGGTGTCGCCTTTGAATGCCTGGTATCTGGATGATGGTATTGTCGGTGGCAACCTAGCTGACTTACTGAGTGATATTGCAAAAATCACTGCCACAGCAGAAGAGTATGGCCTACAACTAAATTTAGCTAAATGTGAATTTTTTGTATTCGGTGGCACATCAGAGGAACGCGAAATCGTACGCGAAGCGTTTGCTAAGTGCCATCCGGAATTTCTGCAGCCTGCTGAAAGTGAACTATTACTGCTCGGCGCTCCTCTTTGCAGGCGGCGATTCCTGATGCAATTCTCCAAAAGGCTCAAGATCTACAGAGACTTTCCTCAAAGCTAAGTATACTGCCTGCACATCAGGCTTATTTCCTTTTGCGGACGTGTATCTGTGTTCCTAAAATGAATTATCTACTTCGTGCAAGTCCAACCTGGCTGTGCGGCGACGAATTAGATCAGTTTGATAGCGTGGGCAAATCGGCTTTAGAGGCAGTCACGAACGTTAAAATGGATGGGTTAACGTGGGCTCAAGCATCGCTCCCCGTTTCCAGTGGTGGGTTGGGGATCCGACGTGTGGCAGAACTAGCAACTCCAGCCTATTTGGCTTCGGTTTATGCCACATCGTCCGTGGTCTCAGACATCACCACTGCAACGGAGTGCTATGACTTGGTGCACCAGTTGTGGCAAACAGCCTCGGGTGCTGAGCTACCAGCGGAAAATGTTCGGCGATCGCAGAAAGTGTGGGATGCCGCTTTAGTGAAGAAAACTTGTGAAGTTATTGTGAATACTTTCGCGAATGACGTAACCCACTGTGCGCGTTTGCTTGCAGTTGCGCAGCCGGAATCGGGGAAATGGCTGAACGCTCTACCCGTGCCTTCTCTTGGAACCTTGATGTCGGATGAGAGCTTCCGTGTAGCGGTCGGACTACGTATTGGTGCGCCTATTTGCAGTTCTCACCTGTGCACTGACTGTCGTTTGCCCGTGGACGAATTTGGCCATCATGGGCTCTCATGCAAAAAGAGCGCAGGACGTTTCATGCGACATTCGTCTTTGAATGAAGTGATTCGGAGAAGCTTGGTAACCGCTAATACACCGGCTGTACTCGAACCACGAGGGACTAGCGACGTGGATGAGCGGCGACCGGATGGTGTATCACAGCTGCCTTGGAGAAATGGAAGGAGACTTGCCTGGGATGTGACGTGCGTGGACACGTTGGCCCTGTCTAATGTAATCAGCAGCAGTACAAAGGCGGGTGAAGCGGCCAAAAAAGCGGAAGAAGAGAAGCGCCGGAAATACGAGTATTTAGCTGACGAGTACGATTTTGTTGCGTTAGCTTTTGAGACCTTTGGTGTCGTTGGCCCAGCATGTTTGAAGTTTCTGCGCGAACTGGGCAAGCGGATAATGGATGCTACTGGAGAACGACGCTCTTTCGAGTTTTTGTTGCAACGGCTTAGCATTGAAATACAGCGGGGAAATGCGCTGTCTGTAACGTCGACCGTTCCACGTTCGGACGGTCTTAATGCTGTTTATTTTGTTTTGTAATGTTCCCGAATGTGATGCTTATAACTATGTTTGCCAACTAAACCAATAAAAGTAACAAGCGGGACTATACACATTCAAAATATAGATTGTATACTCGTATAAAATTTCGTCGTATGAACTCTAATTTTTTCTATAACGTCGAACTTCAGTACACATACCGTGTGCGTTGTGTATTTTTTCCACTTTTCAATATTTTACTCTCATCATGGCGCGTGTCGAGTCCCCAGTCGTCGTGCGAGAGCATACTGATCGCTACCAGATCAAGTTTATTCTACGGTGGACTATAGAAGGCGTATCACTACATCGTAACGAAACTGCTATAATTTTTAATGCCGGTATTACCATGGAGGAGCTGTGTGTTAGCAACTGCGATGGGCGCTGGCGCATTGGAGTCAGATCGTGCCGTGTGGACCCGAACAATGCAAGCGACAAAACCCTGGCGGCTTATTTGTATTTGACGGATACGAACCTCGACTCGAAATCATATACAGGACCTAAGCAGTTCCCTGCAGGATTTAGAATAAGGTGAGTTATGCGCGGAAAAAATGGATTTTCCTGCTGTATGAGCCTGCGAGGTCTGCGGATACAGTCATACAGATATACGTAAAGTACAGTCTCTATAGGTATGAAAACGTGGGCTTATCAGGGCACATATTCCGTCTCCAGATCCAGAAAATCTAAATTTTTGCAGAAAGGTAGTATACCTACGTAATATACTTAAAAAAATATTTTCTGTTGCTAAGATCATAACGGGCGTGACCTTTCGGCAAAAAATCAGATTTTATGGATTTGAAGGCGGAATATTTGCCCTGGTTAGACACTAGCTAAATCCGATGCATGGGTTTACGCAGTGCTTCTTAGATCTGTAGCAAATTTAGTTAACTGTATTGGTCTTTATTTTTTTAAAACTCCACAAAATAATTGGCATTAAGAATTTTAGCAACCCCCCTTTATTATTTCGTAGCGTGAGCACGGGGAAATCCATGACGGAAATATTTTCGCATAAGGATCCATACACGCGAACCTTCTGCAATGGGCAAACCGCTTGGGGAAGCCATAAAATAATTCCCCATGCGGACTTCTCTGAGAAAATTCAGGACGACTCCATAACTATCGTCTTGGACGCCACAGTGGAAATTACATCCGAAACATTTCGCGTGTACACCCTGCAGCCACATCAAGAAGTCTACCGGCAGAAATTCTGCCAGCGTTTGGTTGGCATGCTTCCTGGAAAACCTGCTCAGCATTCTGCGGACTTTGTCATTCGTTCCTGTGACGGGCAAGAATTCCCTATGCATCGCTGTCTGCTGATGGCGCAGTCACCGGTTTTTGCCGCCATGCTAACGCATAACACGAAAGAAAAGCAACGTGCGCGGTGTGAAGTGAGTGATGTCGATGGAGAAAGTGTTGCCATCCTGCGTGACTATCTTTACGGATGTGAAACGGGAAAAATCAACCGCGATAATGCGGAAAAGGCTTTGATCATGGCTGATAAGTACGCTGTTGCGGATCTACGGTGCTTTTGCGAATTGATGCTGACCGATAATGTCACCTTGGAAAATGCAGCAAAGTATCTGGAGCTGGCTGAGCAGCTAGAACTGGACACGTTAAAGGAAGAAACGGTTTATGTACTCAGTACGGGACGCATGCGAATTCGAAATTCAGTGAACGGATTCAAGCGGAACTTGATGCCGTCCGCTGCCGCTGAGATCAAAAGTTGCGAAAGCGCGGAAAAGGTCACTGAGGCAATCATGGCTAAGTTTGTGGGGATCGCCGCAATAGGATTCGCTGTGCTTGTTTTCTTAATGACGCAAAAAAAACGTATGCAATTGAACTTGTAAATGTTTGAATAGCACCAATTTTTTCAGTCGCCCTTCTGTTAATACTGCTGAATGCTGATTAACCCTCCAACGCTCACTACCCGAACGGGTGGGAGTTTTCTCGTGAAAACCGGGATTTTCCGATGTAAAAATTCAATTAAGAAAGGGAATTTTTTGTGTGCCTGTACTGACCATAGGTCACCGGCCGTGACATGGGTGTTTAGCGACACCATTGGGCGCAGATGGTCCTAGTCATGAAAACGTTTAATTCTAAAATAATTCGGCGAACAGCAGCTGACCGAAACAAAAACGTTTATCGTATAGTCCATAAAGAGGGCTTCAAAACAAGGGTATTGCAGTGGTCAGTAAACTGACCATTGGTCAGCAAAACTGGAAAATAAAAGAAACGGATTTTGCATGATGAAGTAATTGGGGGTAACTGGACACAACAAATACAGCGATTTTCAACAACCCAATTCTCAAAACAACATTACTTTTCGCATAAGACATCCCGTAACAGTCGTTATGCCACGCCGAGCTGCTTTTACACTGCATGCATGGTGCATGATTGCACTTTTATGGATGTAGCTGCGGCGTTTGGATCGGAAATCAGCGATGACGGACTAGTAGTACGTGCGGAAATGATTCGCTAAAATCCACATCAGCAGTCCTGGAAGCAGCAGCCGCCATCATGAACTCAGCATCGGCCGAATGTTAATAACACACCTGGCGCAAAGGTCACTGCACACTACCGGCCATGTGCCTATTGGAGTATCATCCCGACGTAGTTTTTCCTGCAAGCCTACACCGCTGTAAGGTCCGGTTCGTGTAAAGTTGTAAACTGCAGTAGATCGCACGAGGCGTAAGGCAGACTGCAGGGTTGTCATGCCGATTAAAGTGGTAATTCACTATTGCAGATTACTACGAAACAAGGTTACCACGCTCGGTTATCTTGAAGGTTTGATTGTCCAGAAACGACCACCGATTCGTTCGTCTGAGGGCCATAGCCGACCGCCCAGGGTGCCGCCCAACTAAATTGTTTTTGAAAAAGTTCTGGCAAGCAGAACCATGTTCAGCATGTTAGAAGACCGAACCAACAAGACCTTATCCGATTTACATAATCATAAGAGTGTCGAAATTGCGCCCGCCCGTACTTCAGGACCATACATGCCCAATGGTGTCTGCACGCAACACGAGTTTTCGATGGACTGTGGCCATCCACTGTTTAACTTTCAGAACCGCTGCTTGTTATTTTTTAATAAAGCATCACTGATAGTACTTTACTGAATTATTTCAAATTAATTGACTCAGTGACTAATTAGTTAATTAGCAGGACTTTCGGGAGGTCAGAAAGTTCGAAATTAGCAACTTTCGCGACCTCGTGGTTCTTGAGGGACTTTTGATTCCAGTTTGGTTTGTTTTTTTATTGCTGCTGTAAGGTCTCGTAACGCTAATTACGCTATCAGATATTGATTAATTGCTCTTGTTCATTGAGAAAAACATTTTGAAGACCCTGTTGCGCCCCAACACCAATGGGCGTCAGTGGGTTAATGTTTACTGGACCATGTGCAGTAGAGTATACTGGCTCCTGGCAAAATTGTTTGACAATGTCAAATCTTTTCAACAATTCATTACTACATACTTAACTACTGATTCTGATCATTATTTTCAGTTGATGTATCCCGACAGCACTTTCTTTGGTATTGCCATGTAAACACGGTAAAAGTTTGCGCATTAAAGAACCTGTCAAAAAAGTTTTGGCGTTTTCTGTTATGTATCACGTTAAATGATGCATCAATATGGTTTTTATTCTTTATCCGTCTTAAGCATAGGCGAGTTTGACTCACTTGGGCGGAAGAGAAACTAAGAGCTCGAGAACCCAATAGATGGGGAAATAACTTGCTGTATAAACTGCTTGAAATTTCTTAAAGTAATTGAGCAAGGTGACGGGTTAAAAATTATGTCAGATGCCGATTTTCGCGCTTAGCCAACCAACGTTTTCCCCGCAAAAGCTGCCAGAAATTCTATTGAAAATGGTAAAAATAATTCGAAATTTCTTGCAGCGTAAGGTAAAGGGCATGAAATAACGCTTTACCAATTATCATGAACCAAGGTAAAGCGGAAAGTGATTCGTGGGCCTACACCACTAGTTGACCGAGAGTCGTATCTTTATCCGGACTATTACGAATTTGGGCTGAAGTGAAGCGGTAATGCAGTCTTTCGACCATGCGGTATATCAGAACATGCATTTACTTATGGCTATGGCTATTTTGCCGCAGTATAACAATAAGGGTTGGAATAGCCCTCAGGCTATTTTGCCGCACAGTGCGTCGGGATAGCCAGTTGGCTATTTTGCCGCACTATGGTTGGCGAAATAGCTTGTTGGCTATTTTGCCGCAGCCTCCGTTGGAATAGCTAGTACGCTATTTTGCCGCAGTTTATTTTTAATTTTTCAAACACCTTTCTGTTAGCTAGATTGCTACCGACAAGGCGACAACTAACTACCCAGGGCCCGGTCACCGCCTCCCCCCTCAGAAAAATTTCGTATATTGCTTAAAGACAGGGTAGGTATTGAGAATACTTAAAAAAGTATTTTCGTCGGCAATGGTCCAGTAGACGTGGCCAAAAACTAATTTAACTGCCGTATGTATTGTGCTAGTGCACTGGCTGTACATACGGCACTTAAACTATATTGGCCAATGTACGTATGAAGTATGTATGTATTCTCATTAAACGGTGTTCATCGGACTGGTGAAAACGTCTGGTTTGATTTTTACTTCAACAGATTTTATTTTTTACTGCCTGGCTTGAGAATGTAAAAGTTTTGTGAACTCTTTGTACTTGCCAGAATCGCGCGCGTGGTGCAACACAGAGAAGAATTTAGAGATAAGCCGTGCAATTAAATCAAATCGACTACCGGTTAGATTTTAAAGACGGCATGTCGTAAAACCCAAAATTAAGAATTAGTAGTCAAGATGCAAGCTTGCAAATGCAGTGATAACAGGTAATACGGATCGCGGTCCCGTATGTATTGCCAATACAATGTACGGTACACTGACAATACATACGGCACTTTATTTTTGGCCACGACCACTGAACCATTGCCGACAAAAGTATTTCTTAAGTGTTCGCCACATCTGTCTTTAAACAAAATATGAAATTTTTATGAGGGGGAGGTGGTGACCGGTCCCTCTTAAATTTAAGACTTGCATGCCCTTTAGAAGTATTTTGAGTAGTTCATAATCAAATATCTGGATCTTTTGGATACCTAGCCTCATTAAACAGTGTGATCCTTTAGTAATGCCATGGGCTGTCAAACGCAAAAGCTTGTCCATAGAAGAGACACATTCTGTGTGACATGATCTCTCATAGTCTACGGTGTTGGCGAGTTTAAAAAATTAAAAATTTTTGTTAAAAGATAGTAGCTGGCTCACACAGAGAAACCTTTTAATTTTTATGGTTTTCTTAGCTTTTGTTTAGCATTCCACGCAATAAGTCGAAAACGCAGCTATAATTCATAAACGTCAGGAAGGCTTTGTTTACTGTTTTCTAATGCCGCGATCGAGCACTCTGCCGTGAATGCCTAACCTCTGCCATGAGCGTTCTCATTTACTTTAAATATGCAGCGCTAAATAACTGTAACTTTGCAGCTACTAGTAAAAGGAAGATTTCGTACTGGAGGCCGTCCCAAGATTCTCAGTTGGCACCGGGACATTTTGCCGAGTACAATTAGTCGAAGTATATTTGGTAGCAGACATCTCGCCGCAAAGGTCATCTCGCCGCGCGACATTTCGTTGCAAGACAGTACGCCAAGAAACACTTCTTCACGAGGCTGTTAGGCGCCTAGATAATTCATTGAGAGGCCGATTTGAGAAACAACCATGTCATCTTGCACACAATGCTTTGCTACTTCTATGCATAGTAAAACAGCCATAAAAACGAAATAAAGCTAAGAGAGGTGAAACCTGAGAACACCTAAAAGCTCAACGCAAACTTAGGAAAACTTAAGAAACCTAAGAGAAACCTAGGAAAGTTTAGAAAACATGAAACGAAGGACAACATAAGAAAGCATACGAAAACAAGAAACACAAAACAAACCGAAAAAGACGAAAGCATAAAGGTATGCAAACTTAAGAAATATAGGAAAACCGAAGAAGAAAACAAAGAAAACTTGAAAGCTATCCGGATCAATTTGTTTTGCTGTGGATTGCTCGCATCAAGAGATCACAGAGATGAAATGTTTCAAAGCAATTCGGTCCAGAATGCAAAAAACCGAAATGTCGCAGCTTTCGTACGTTCCGCGTTGAAGCGTCTTTATGGCAAAAATTCACGCGTCGAATTTATTTGCGGCGACATATTGCACTCCCGGTTGTCCAAGTGCCAGTTTAAAATGGCATTTAAGGGAGCTGTTCCAATACCTCTCAGTGAAATGAAATTTGTGAAAGGTCTATCGCTGGAAGATAAGAAGAGGCCGGATGTGATCACCCTCATACCGTGGAAGCGCGGAAAACCGCTTGCAGTTGATGTGACCTGCGTGGACACACTGGCGGCCTCCTATATCGAGCGCACTTCCGTGAACGCCGGCGCAGCAGCCAAACTCGCTGAAAGGAAGAAACTAGCGAAACACGCCTGAATGCAAACAAGATACGATTTCGTTGCTGCAGCCTTCGAAATTTACGGACCTTTTGGAGACGGTACTAAAAAGCTAGTAGAAACGGTTGAAAATGGTATAGCGACTTCAACCGGCCAATAGCGGGCGAAAAGAGTTTTATAAACAACGAATATCTATGCAAATCCAACGGGGAAACGCGATTTGTGTAATGGGTACGATCTCCGATCCCTCAGGATAGCATAGAGAAAGTGTTTCTTTTGTAAACGCCGTTTTGTTCTGGTGCATAGTTTGCACTCGTACCATGATACTTATAAAGGTTATTATCAAATTTGTGAACAACGAAAAATATCAGGATTGCTGCCTCGTGGTCAAAGTTATGTTGTAGTATCGAAGTTATGTTGTAGCGAAAATAGCCATAATAATCGAACACTTAAGTAAAATTTTGAGCCAACTGACCTTTCAATAAATTCCTTTTGAAGTCGTTAGAGATGTATACAATTTGTATAACGTGAAAATAATAGTGCTCGTTAACGTAGTTTAGCGATTCGGTAGTGGAGAAAGAAACTTGTTATTGTCGTTACACTAGAAGGGGTGCTTCAAATGTGCTGACCTTTTGCTGCATTCTTTTTGCGGTCGAGAA